AGGTGGTGTGGTGGTTAAGGGCACTGGACTTCCACATGGCCAACTGCGGTTCAAGTCCCGGACCTGGTGGCTTGCTTTCTCTCTCTCTCTCTCTCTCTCTCTCTCTCTCTCCCTCTCTCTCCCTCTCTGGTCAAATTTAAATACATACATAGATAAAGTTAAATAAAATTTTTCTTAAAAAAAAAAGAATTGTAGACAGAAGTGACTTACGGTACTCTTAGAAACATTTAAATGCATGTGAAACCCTTCAGTACTCTCTTCCTCTGTACTGGTATCACAGAGTAGGCTTCATTTTACAGTTGTGAGCAGCCAAATTTCTGAGCAATGATAACAGACACCCTAGAGAATCACTTGGTTCCACCATGGACTTTATAAGAACAAACAATAAACATTTTTTGTGTTAAACCCCTGAAACACTAGAGTTGTTTGCTACTTCAGTGTATCCTAGCCTATCCTGAATTGATACAGAAGCCATTGGTTGTTTGAAGTCAGGGAGAATTTTGATCTAAATACCATCTCATTTAGTTCTGAGGCTAATCTTTTAAGATAGATTGGCTTTCTGATTCGTAGATAAGGATACTTGGGCTCAGACAGTAACCTGCTCATGTTCATGTATGTATTGAGTAACAATACCTGGATTTATGTCCTGGTCTGACCTCCTACAGAGGTGATTCAGAATTTTATCTGAAGACTTTGTAACACTGTATATACTGTCTATGCATCACGGGGCATAGTTTTCCACCCGGAGAGTCACTGCCATGATCGATCATTGTTATTGACTGGATTGTGTTGCATTGAAAGAGAAACAGAAGTGGAGAACATTGTCTTTGAACCCAAATGTGATATCCTTACTGGTTGGGTATGGATCTTCGGGCACAGCCATACTTTCCTTATCTGTAGAATGAGGACTTTTTCATGAGTTCTCAGGTTCTTCATGAGGAAGAAGTGTTCTTCATCTAAAGCCTCAGTGATGTTGATTGATTGTTAGAGGAGTTGTCCAGCTGAAAAATACATACCTTAGGAAAACTTGGGGAAGGCAAAGAAATCCATTTGTTATTTTGCCCATCTTGGCCTATTCCCAACAGATACGGGTGGAGTGTGCAGCAGCCACTTCCTACATACTGTCTCTTTCCTGCCTAGAGGCAATTAAAATGAGTTCTCCCTTTTCTTACGTCCATTATCTGAATAGAGGAGGAAATGGTCAAATCAAATGGGCATTCTGGGTAGAGATGATGTCTAAAATTCCTGTTGGTATTTGGGAAGGCTTAAATTTTATTTCGCTCTTGTCCTCTTCAGAACCTGTGGAGGAATGGACAGAGGAGATCACATTAACTGTTTTGTTTCTGACAGTAACTGGACTAAGGGAATGCTTAGATGCACAGTCTAATACTTTATTTACAAATTAGATAAATTGACCCACTAAGTTACTGACACAGCTAAAATGCTGCACAACCTGCCTAACACATGGCAGAGAGCAGGCGCCAGAGTACACCCTCTTGGGCAAACATTAAAAAAGAAAAAGCCCAAAGTGGTAGAGCTGATCAGGTAATCTAGGGAGAGACATCAAATGTACTACTCTATTGAAGTACATCCTTTCATGGATCTGTGAAGCCTAGGGAACAGGGTACCTCCAACACCCCCTTCCATGTCTCGGAGATTACATCTAAGTTTTCCCTTCATTTATCAATGTACTTGTTCATCCAAAATGTACTGCTGATAAAATAATAGCTTACATTTGCTTAATCCTGCTTTGGCTGCGTGCTTCATATGTGCTGTTTTTAGTTGTCAGAAAGTGGCTTTGTGTTTTTATCCATTAAATATTTAACTCAATGATAGATTTGCCAAGAAAGGTGCTCTGAAGTGCCAATTGCAGTCATGTTTTTGGTTATATTCACATCTGGTCTCCCTTGCCTTCCCTAATCTCCTTTTTACTTCAAACCCTGAGACCACCAGTTCAATTCATGCACATCTAACTTTTACAGCAGCCTTATAGACGATAAGCTTTCATTTGCCTAAAATGTTCATCTGGATTCCAGAAATTTGGCCAAAGTATCAGCCACTGAACTTTTAATCACTGTTCATGCAGGCTAAATTATAGGAAGAACATGCTCTCTGCCCGCTCCAGTTTTACACATGCTCTAGCCCACTGTGGGTGAGCATTTTAGTAAATGTATCAGTTATTAGGCACTCAAATACTGATGGTAGAAATTTATTAATTTCGTCTAGTTGTAACATAGTCTCCTCCAGGCACAGGGGAATCTTTGTATT